GTCTGTCTGTGTGTCTGTCTGTGTCTCTGTCTGTGTGTCCGTCTGTGTGTCTGTCTGTGTGTGTGTGTGTGTCTGTCTGTCTGTCTGTCTGTCTGTCTGTCTGTCTGTCTGTCTGTCTGTCTGTCTGTGTGTGTGTCTGTCTGTCTGTCTGTCTGTCTGTCTGTCTGTCTGTCTGTGTGTCTCTGTGTGTCTCTGTGTGTCTCTGTGTCTGTGTGTGTCTGTGTGTCTGCGTGTCTGTGTGTCTGTGTGTCTGTGTGTCTGTGTGTCTGTGTGTCTGTGTGTCTGTGTGTCTGTGTGTCTGTGTGTCTGTGTGTCTGTGTGTCTGTGTGTCTGTGTGTCTGTGTGTCTCTGTGTCTCTGTGTCTCTGTGTCTCTGTGTCTCTGTGTCTCTGTGTCTCTGTGTCTGTGTGTGTGTCTGCGTGTCTGCGTGCCTTTGTCTCTGTGTGTCTGCGCGTCTGTGTGTCTGTGTGTCTGTGTGTCTGTGTGTCTGTGTGTCTGTGTGTCTGTGTGTCTGTGTGTCTGTGTGTCTGTGTGTCTGTGTGTCTGTGTGTCTGTGTGTGTGTCTGTGTGTCTGTGTGTCTGTGTGTCTGTGTGTCTGTGTGTCTGTGTGTCTGTGTGTCTGTCTGTATGTCTGTATGTCTGTATGTCTGTCTGTCTGTCTGTCTGTCTGTCTGTCTGTCTGTCTGTCTGTCTGTCTGTCTGTCTGTCTGTCTGTCTGTCTGTCTGTCTGTCTGTTTGTGTCAGCCTCAACTCAAAATCTGTGATGCATTGAACAGGCGCCAATTTGTACAGAGATCCATCCCTGTTCTACAAGCACGCTGTGCGCGCGTATGTGTGCAGAGATAAATTCAGTCTTGGTTGCCGGCGCACCCATATGCATGAAGCCTTCGAGCGGTCTATGATTCCCTGTGAACTCTGGGCCCTCGGCCGATGCTTCCATGTGCTTGTGCATGCCAGTTGGGTCCTGGCCCGACGCATTGTACCCTATCCCTGCCCAGCCACATGCCTCAGACAGCTTACTTTGGCGCGAAAACATCGCCTCTACTCGGTGGATTTTTAGCAACGCTCCGCAAGTACAACCACACAAAGAGCTACCACAGGCTCCAATACGTGGGGGTCTCGCGAAGAGCGTGCGCTGCTAACACTGGATGGTGACTCTAGGCAAATCAGTCCCAAGAAGGCAAAAGGGTCTGACAGGGATCTGGGACCTGCCCCCCTTGCCCAAACAAAGGCCCCAGTACGAGTTTGTTTGTTGTTGTGGCCCCGTTCCCAACCCAAACCTCTGGTGTATTTGGAAGCCTGTACCTTGACTGGCGCTTTGAGGGGCCTCCTGCATGGTAGCCGATTTCTCACCTCAAGTCCTTGGACAGATTCAGCTCCACCACCCTGAGACCATTTCCCGAGCGTCGCCTCGGGCTTGTTGCTCAGGGAGCCCAGCAGTGCTTCAATGGCGTCAATTGGCAGGGCCGCAATCTGGATCGCTTGAGGCTCGGTCTCTATGGGCCATGACACCCAAAGCGGGCTCTTCAGCACTCTTTGCCAACCCCCCCCCCCCTCAAAAAAAAAAACGAAGGGAACTGCAGGCACACAAGGAACTCGTTCATGCGAGAGGAAAGAAAGCGGAGAATACTGGAGAAAGAAACGCCGGGCCCGCCCTGTTCAAACGCCAGCGCTTGCTGACAGCACACTTCGGCTGCAGCTTTTGGGCTGCTGAAATTGACACTCCCTTAAGATCAACAAGAGAAGTTGAATGATCAAAATCGACCCTGCAGCTATGAAGGGGGGCAGCACGGCGACTCGGACGAAGTACTTGTGGGTTTCTCTTGAAAAGCCTCCCCCATCTTGACAAACCCCCCCTCAAATCCGAACAACACACCCATATTGTCGTCTTGGGATCCTGCCCTTTACTTCTCTTTCAAGGGCCGCGAAAGGGATCTGAGGAATGCAGGTGTGCAATACTAAAACTACATGAAAGTCTCTGGTATTGCGTCCAAAGGGTCTTGACTTGGCAAGGCAACGAAACGGCACCTGCTCGTTGCAAGTACAAGCTATAAGTTATAAGTTATACATTTACCCTTCTAAAAACAGGAACCACCCTTCTTAGACAGAACATGTTGGTTGCTTGGGGAGATATATTGTGCAGCCCTCAAAGCCTGCCGACCGCGCCTCACTATCCTTGGCATTTGCCACCACCATGGAGGTCTCTACGGGCGTCCCGGAGCGGAGCACCGCGGTGTACAGCCCCTCCAGGGCCAAGAATCGACGGTTATGCTGGCGGAAGCAACCCAATGAAACTCAATGAAGCGTCCAGGTTGTTTCAGGCCCTTCCAGCTTTTCCAGTTTTACCAGGTTTTCCAAGAAAACCCAATGAAACGGAAGAAAACAGACCAGAGGGCCCCATTCCTCGTTGGCACTCCGAGGGTGGGCTTCATTGGGAAGAGCCCAGACAACTCACAACGAGATCCGCTTTCTTTTTTGTGGATGAATGTGTGTCTTTCAGGGGGGGAAGTTCAAGAACCCACTGGCAAAAGCACATGCCCCTCGCCTCAGGAAAGGCAGCGGTCTTGCGCTTGTTGCGCGCGGCTTCCTGCCAATACACGTCTTTGTCCGATGTCCGGTCAAACCGTCAGAGCTTGGAGTGCAGTTGCTTTGTGACCAAACCCTACGAGTTGCTTGTTTGTTTAGGGGACCCACCCAAATGGTGCTTGTCCTCTTGGCTTTCCAATTGAAAAACTCAAGAAAAGAAGAAGCGCTCGAAAAAAGACACACCCATATTTAGTATTTTCTTCGGAATAAAATTTCCCCTGGCACGAGGCTGTGCTTTCTCAAATCCGCTGGACAGTCATGCTCTCAAACCGGCCTGGGCTTCCCATGTGCAACTTTGCATCAATCAGTCAATCAGCTTCAGCGCGGCCACCACTGGCGATACCCAGTCACACAAAGGAGCAGGCTGTCACTGCGACTTTAAACAAAAAAATGTGAGCACATAGATATTTATGTTATCTTTTTCTTACCCTGCGGCTACCTTTTTTTCCAACAATCATGGAAGTGATGTACATATTAGGGGAGCCTTCTGGCTAGTGCCCATTTGCCCGCCACAACGACTCCCCGACGACCGTGCCCTTCCCCTCTTGACACCCACGGATGCCGCACCCAAACCCTCCAAACCACTCTACACCAAACCCTAAACCTCAACACACCTGAGCCCAGAATTTAAACTCCAAACCTGAACCCTCAGCCTAAACCCTAACCTGAACCCCCCCCCCCCCCAAGTGGCAAATCTTCAGGGCCGTGCAAACGTGGAACCCCACGTCCCGTGGCGGAGCAAGATAGAGTCGCATCGCTGCTCCACACCTTTTGGGATCCCGGCCTCGATCTGAGTGGCGAGCTCGGACTTCACTTTGACACCCAAGGTTTTCTCGTCCTTGGCTTCTCAGCCCATTGCCCCGCAACTGCAAGACAAAAGAATATGAGGGAATGATCTAAACATGAGAACCCTGGATGGCTTTTTTGAGGGAAGCCCCAAACAAAAGAAACCGACCGCTTTCAAGGAGAAGACCCTAAAATCTGAGTCACCTTCGGGAAATAGAAACATTTGTTGCCCTGGTCACTTTGCAACATGAAGAGACCCAGGCCCAGCGGGCCCGAAATCTAGGATGCCACGCTATGAAGCCAATGAGAAAACCAACCCAGGGGCAAACATACATACTCCCAAAACCACACAGCTCAAGGCAAACCCCTCGCAACGTGACCTCGGAATCGCCAACCAAACTTCGGTCTGGTCTGAGGGCCGCTCGAACTCCCACTCTGTCGGCCGGCTCTGGAAATACAAAACCTCACGCGGTGTGGCTGCTAGGGTGGAAAGACAGGCCCAGCAGGGAGCAGCGGCATCTGAGACTCTGCGCGTGGCTCACTGATGCTAAAAATGTAGTAATTTCCAATGATGCGACGTTGAGGTTGTGGCAATGTTGGTGCTGATGGTGAGGCTGGTGGTGCTGGTGATGTTGGGAACGGACACAAGTTCGCCACGCTTTAATGTAGAGGGCAGAACAGTCCACAACTCAGAAAGCCAGCTTGGTACGAAAATCAGTTATCTTGAGAAAGCGACAAAGGCTCCCCGCGTGCTCAAATATACGGCGCCTGGGTCGGTACATGTTTGCCTTTTTTGGGTTGTGTAAGCGTTGGCTAGTTTTGCCCACGTCACCGCCAGCAACGCTGCAGCTTGCTTGTTTGGGTACTTGTGTGAATCACCCACATTCTCGCCTCCTTTGTGGCCTGCTTTGCCCAATCCAGAAAACAAGTGAGCAATCAAGACTGCCTGCCAGCCAGCCAGCCAGCCAGCCAGCCAGTCGGCCCCTGCAGGCGGCTCCCTCAACTTGCAGCTGCGATTCTGGTAATGCTGGTCATGCTAACAATACTGGTGAGGTTGGTGTTGGTGAGGTTGGTGACGTTGGTGCTGCATCGCTTGCATCAGCAGCACAACGTTCAAGGCAATTGTACAACTGTTGATTGCTTGCAGCAAGTACTTGTATTATTTGTCCCATCCAATCATCTCCTTTTCCTTTTTTACATCTCTAACACCCACCTGTCCAAGCTTCTTAAACCGCTTGGAGGCAACTTTAGGTGGGTGCGAGGTGTAAGGAAAGGAAAGACAGACAACGTAAAAACAAATAGAAGTATAATATGCTATTCCTCATCTTGGATTCTTCTTTGGGGCATTCTGTAGCCATAAATCCAAGATGAAGAAGAGAGGAATAGCATGAGAAAGAGAAAGTGACAGACGGGAAGCACTCTCCTAAAAACAACTTACGACATCTCCCTTTCCTTTCACATCACCAGCGCTTGACACATTAGCAATCAAAGCCTCAGCTGGACCTTTCCCAGTTCCAGTTGACCACAAGCCTGCACAGGAAAACTAAACCCGTTTGCCCAGAGGTCTACGCACCTTCCATACTGCACGCCGCAAATCCAAGGCCACAGCCCAGGTTGGGTCTTCCCACGGCGGCTTGAAGAGAACCCGTCTGAAGTACGACCGAACCTGGCGCAACGCATGGCACGAGGTTCCGATCCAACTTTCCAGATCTGCCTTGGCATCCGCCTTGATCTTGGTCAACCTGAGGCGCAAAGACTGCAAGCAAATGCTTTGTTGGCAGGGTTCATCCCGAAACAAAGGACCACAAGGGCTCCCACCAGGTGTTTTGCCAAGAAATGTCGCTCGAGGCAATTCAGGTGACAGGGCCATTAAGCACTTCCAGCCGAGGTGCTCAACAAAATTAGAATTCTCGGACAAAGCCTCCACCGCGTTCTTGACCACCTGTGACAAAGAAATGGATGTGTCTCCAAATGAAAAAGCCATCAAAACAATAGCTTCCCTTCTTGAAGCCACCTCAAAAATGGCCCTCAAAACCCTGAACCATTGGCCTCGTCCATGACGAACCAACCGGCTGCGCCCACGCCGGTTGGACTAAAGCAGCTGCGAACCACACAAAGTCCGCGCCCCAAGCCCAGCAACAAACGGCAGCATACCTTCACCGCTCTCTGCCTGGTTTCGCACCGAATGCAAGGTGATGCCGTGCATGAGCCAGGCAAATCTTAAGGCCTCATTGCCCATCAAGGGCCACGCGCTACAAGTAAGAAGGTTCTGTAAATGACATTGGCCCTGGTAGAAAAATCGAATCGAAAGCGGCATTTTGTATGTTAGCGATTTGAATCTATTTTGCGTTCCTACCAACAGGTGTGGGTGGCCTTGGGCTTCCGGCAGTGTGACACATCGAGCCGGCCGACCCTGGTTGACCTGCTAGCCTGCTTGAAGCTTCCCAAAGTGGGGGTCTTGCAGCCGGCTGCCCCACTTGCTGCGAATCAGCGTCGTGCCGAGCGGCGTGCCGAGGACACGTTGGACGCGACTGCGTGCTCGGCTCCCCAGAAAGAGGGGGTCTGCTACGTTCCAAACACGAGTTTTACCAGCATCCGGCCGGATGCTCCAGGCGAGAGGAAGGAGATGCAGCCCCAGTCCGGTTGCTGCGAGCGACATAAACGCCGTCGAGGGCGACTCGCGATTAAGGCTACAAACAAGAAAATGTGAGTTCGTCTTGGTTGGCGCCAATATTCCAAATGGAGGTCTGCCAGGTGGAACCTGGTTTCCGTCTGGGCAACCAGCGCACAGCGCACGGGCAAGCAGCAACGTTCGAGGGAAAATGCAGGCCAAGCTTGCGGCAGAAGCAAATGGAGCTGCGGCGCTGAGCATAGGGACCCAGCATGGACGTAGTCTGACGGAGGGGTTGACTGCAAGGCTGCAGGCGCGCGGGTGTGCGGCGGAGCGACGGAAACCAGCAGCCCACCGCCTTTCGGTCCTCGGCTAGCGGAAAGCGGTGGGCGCTCGAGCAACGGGGCCCTAGGGCTCGGGGCCCCCGCTGCCGTATGCGGGCCTGCAGTTTAAGCTTGGCAACGTCGCTGGTGGGCGCAGTTTTTCGGCCGCAGTACAGCAGGCCGGCGGTTCCACCGACTTAGGGCGCGCGTGGAGGGGGCCTTGGCCCCAGCCTGGGCAAGCCGCCGCTCGAGCGCGTGCTGTGCCTTGCCGCGGGTGCTGGCGCAACTGAGTCGCCTGCCCGGCCTTGACGCGCAAGGCGCTGACGCCCGGGGCGCTTGTGCTGCCGGGGGCGCTTTTGCTGACGTTTCACCCGAGAAACAGCTGGGGAAAAAAAAACATAAAGTCACGGCATCAAAAAATTGCTGCCTGTTTCCTGCGATATTCACATGTAAGCGGGAATCTAAGGAAACCATGTTCGCAAATAACATGTGAGTCAAGGCCTACAGCACTCTCGCAAACATTGTGGTAGAAAAACATGAGTGATGTAATGCGGCACCAGCCCGCTGAACAAAGGCCTGCCTAACGCCCGACCGGCGCGCGAAAAAACCCAAGCGGGCGTGCCATCGTGTCTGGGCTCACATCCGAAGGTCACGTGGTCAGCCCAACTGCCCTAGCATCATGCTGCTGGCAGGCGCATCCCGCTTGCCTGGCCGGCGCGCGGGCTATCCCTTAAGCACATCTAAGGGCCGCCGGCAAAAGAAGTAGCCTCCAAAACCAGTGTAAAAACGCGTGGGGTGCAAAAACAAAAGTCTTGCTTGAGCCCCGGCGCCGTAAACATACCCTTGAGTTGCCTGGCAACGACGTTTGGTCGCGCTTGGCGTCGACGACGCCCGATGCGACACAAGCGTGGCGTCACAGCACAACAACGCTTGCCTATTCTCTCACTTTTTCCGCCTCGCTAACCAGCTTTAGGGGCACCCCCGGGCACTGGGAGTATTTGCGGCTGTTTTTAAAAAGGCCAGCTCCTCACATGCAGGCAGGCGCCTTTCACCGAATGCGGCTGGCCCGTCAACCCCTGCGGCAGAAAGAGCGGCACACAGGCTGGCGGCGTATGCGCGCCCACGCTAACCGCTGAACAAAGTCCGCCATCTTTGGGCTGAAGCGTCCGCCAACTTCAAGTGCAAAGAAAACCGACCTGCAACGCAAGTTCGGCCGAAAGAGTTTTGCCTGGCACGACGCGCTAAGCCCAGGGCCGCACCCTCAGCTCGGCCCTGGTAGCGACGAGAAGCGTCCGAAGAGGACAGGGCTGAGACAAGCTGCCCACAACAAGTTGCATACCTCCCCACAAAGGCAAGCCGTTGGCGATGACCTCGATCCTCCGGTCATGTTTTTTTCGCACGCCTTTTCCGTCCAGCGGCAGTGAGACCTGGAGGGAACCCGCAACCCCCCCACCCGAAATGGCCGCCGAGAAAGGCGAACGAAACGCGCGCGCCGACGTGGCGACTAGCCGCGCTAAGGCAGAAGGCTGGGCCCGGACGGGCCAGCCAAAGCAAGGACATCGGCGAGGTCGGGCTTGCCTTCCGCAGCCGGCCGCACGAGGGAAGGCCAAGGCCCTCCGAGCAGAGTGGAAGCGAGGGCGCGCTGAAAGGCGGCGCTGAGCAGTGCCCACCACCTGCGGCGCCAGCCCGCCTCGGCCGCGCGGCGGACGGCCTGAGGCGCGCGGAGTGCCCGGAGGCGCACCAAGCGATCAACTAAGCCGCACGCCTCGGGGCCCCACCGCCCGCCTGTTTCACAAGCAAGAACGACCAGCTGCGGGCCAGGCCGGCGAAGCTCCGGGTACCGCACCTCCTTGCGGCGTCGCGCTGCCGCAATGGCTGCGCCGTCTTCCTCGGCCGCGCGTGGCCGCGACGGAGCGGAGCAACGAGCGTGGCGTCGCAGCGCTTCGCCCAAGCGCGTGGCGCCGGAAGGCGGCGCCTGTCCTGCGACGCCTGGCGCAGAAGTGTTGGCCAACCACTGCTGGGGGACAACCCTGCCCTCGGTCCCCAGACCTTCACGCGCGACACGGGCCCACGCGGGCCAACAGTCCGCTGCGCGGGCACGCTGCCGCATGGTCGCCCAAGACATCGAGCACGGCGTCTGCATGTGCGCCGGGGGCGGCGTGGTTCCCGGGTCAGTCGGCACAGCAGCAAGCCAAGCCCCCGCATGGGGGCCAAACTGCGAGCGGAGAAGCTGCCAACCGTGCGGCCAATCGCCTGGTTCACTGTCAGCCGCTACAGCGGGAGGGGCCGCGCGCGCAGGGATGTCCTGCCAGGACGGACGCTCGGGCCAGTGGCGCTGGAGCAAGTCGCCAGCGACGCCTCGCGAAGGCAAGGGGTGGCAGCTTCGTCGTCTGCGAGGAGCTCCCACACATCGCTCCGCCGCATCAGGACGACGCTGGCCCGGCAAGGCGCAGCGCGTACAAGAGACCAAGGCCTGCCCCTGCGCGCTGGAGCGGCGGGCATCCGGCCAAGCGGCGCCGCGCTCCCCGAGGAGCGCGTGCTATGTGCCCCAGACCGCATGGTCATATGCTTCCGCATATGCCGCCGACCGGGAAGGCGGCACGGTGCGGAGCAAGTGTTGCGCCCTAGGCGTGGCGCAAAACAGGAGCAGCAGCCAGGCACACTTCCTGGCACACTGCCAAGGTTTTTGTTTTTTTTCTCTTTCCGTGCGGCGCGCATGGGTGAGACGAGCAGTGAAACATCTGAGTGAAACGCCGAGCAGGGCGCCCCGCCGACACGCCCTCACAAGCGGAGGAGGGGCCGCGACAGGCACCATCACCCGCGGAGGGGGAGGCTGCTGGGGCCTAGGACGGCGCCGCCAACCGCGCGCTGCACCAGTTGAGGTCACGGACCAAGGTGTGCATGGCTACGACACCCCCCACTTCACAGCGAATGCGGGCAGCCGCGCGCTCAAGCGGCCCACCACGACCTCTCAAACCGCCCGTCCGCGGGCGGCGTCGTGCCACAGCAGTCGCTGTCCCGGACAACTGCGCCTGGGGTGTCACCCGACGACCGTCGCAGGCTGGACTTGGTCGTCTACGGGGCCACGGAGCGGGGAGAAGCACTGCCACGCTCGTCAGCTGTCCGCGGTGATGGCCGGCCACACGCCTGTGCGGCGGATCGCGATGGCCTCGCGCTGTCTGCAGCTGGAGCTAGGCCAGCCGGGCCTGCGGCGCTTGGTCGTCCTTGCGGCTGCGGTCGGTGGCCGTCGGCATGCTGCTGCCACGGCCTTCGTCCGACAGCATGCCCGCGTGCGCGCCAGGCGGGCTCCACCCACGGTGCCGCGGGTCGCTCGCGCCGGCTGATGTCGCCGCCTTTGCCTGCTGGAGGGGAAGGGCCGTTGCTCGGGGATGCCCTCTGGCTGGCAGAGCCCAGCGCCCCCAGCAGCCTCCCCCTCCGCGGGTGATGGTGCCTGTCGCGACCCCCCCTCCGCTTGTGAGGGCGTGTCGGCAGGCCGCCCTGCTCGTCGTTTCACTCAGCCGTTTCACTGCTCGTCTCACCCGCGCGCGCCGTGACGGATGTCTCACCCCTTGAGCAGGCGCAAAAAAAAACTCCTCTGAACCCACTGGGGCCTGCACCTCCCGCGGGGCTCAATTACAGTGGGAGCGGACGCGAATGCCATACAATGAGGTAATATCGGGAGTTCAAGGGCCGTGGTTTCCGAAGGAGGTGGGCGTTTTTGTTTGTTTGTTGGTTTTTTTGTGCGCGCGCCTTTTTTCCACCTTGGCCCGCGCCAAGGCGCCACCACCGGCTCCGAGCGGAGCAACTCCGGGTACGTCCTTTCTTTGCGGCGGCGTGCAAGCGCAAGGGCGGCGCCGTGAACACGACCACCCGGGCGGCAGGGCCGGGTGAAACCGGACAGGGGAAATACCAACGTGGTGTCCACGGTGAGCTGCCGCTCGAGAGGGCAACCGCGGCTCCGGAAGACGGGGTAGAGGGCAGCTGCTCACACTGGTGGCGAGGCTGAGCTCGGCGCGTGCTCTGGCAGCAGCGAATCGGGTCGAGCCGAGTCGAGGCCTGTAACCCTATTTAGGACACATTCATTCATCGGCCTCGCGTCTGGTGAGACATGGGCATGGAAGGGACCCAAAAAAAAGAATGAACATGTTTCTCTACAACTTATGGCAGCC